GAAACTGTTTGTACAGATCTTACGGTTATATCTAGCCATTTCAATTTCAAAATGATGAGGCCTTGCGCCAATCTAGTACTGTACTTAAAAAGAAATTTTTTTATACGCAAGATAAATTAAATTCAACGTCATTCTTGACATTGTTTTCCTTTTATAATATTATCAATATCTGCTTTCATGGTACCAGTCTTTATTCTAAAAATGTTAGTTAAATTAAAATGGTAGTTATATCGCTTTAGTTCTTGCCCCGCACACCAGCCGTTGTATCTCGGCAAAGGACTTTGCCCACTTCCCTTTTTAGTGCAAAAGGGAATTAAGCCTGCTAGCACAACATTAGAATAATTTTTCCTCGACATACATTACTAAAGTAAATAAAAATATACCATGATTGTAGATGCAGTTAGAAAATGCCTGGAAATATTATTGGACTGCAATTTTCATCCCTTGACGTTTTGAAATATCTCTGTGCTTGGACACGGTCGAATAAAACTGTCCAAAGTGAGAGAATTCGCTAAAATGCAGTAACAGCAATGCGGAGTTGGGCATGGCTCAAAACGTTAATTACAGAAAGTTGTCTCTGCGAAGCCAAAGGATCTGGATGGCTACCAGTATCAGAAGAGAAGGTCGAGCGGGTTCGGAAAACATTCTTGTGAATGCACAGGTAGGCAATATGCCTGGAAACTCAGAATTCGCCAACGACATTTTGGACTTAAAATACGACGAAAAAAAAATTATTAACTTACTTATCGCACATGAAAAAAAAAAGGTAAGACACTTTTTTTATTCCTCATTCAAATTTTGATAAAAAAAATCTTATTTTGTTTAACAATAAGCCTGTTTGGTTTTTCCATGTCTAAACGATGTATTTAATGTATTCAGATATTTCTTTTTTTTTTTAAAATAATGACGTAATAATGCCGTTTTTTACGTATTTTTAACGTCAAAAACGACATTCCTACGTCATTATTTTTGCACCAACCTAATATTTATACTTCTAATTATATCGCATTTTCGAAACCCCTTGTATTTATAAAACGAGGGCGAAAGAATACCGTAAAATTATGAGAATTTTAAAATTCATTTTTATTTTTTTTCTGATCAACAAAACTTCTGATAAAAAGCGATCAAGAGATAACTGGAGCTATAATTTCCGATCACTTAAAACAGAAAAAGTTCAATATTTATCGAAAAATACAATCAAATATCAGATGATTTATCAAACATTTTGACACATGATATCCTTATTGAGCCCGCTAATCAGATAAATCAAAAAAATTTTTTTTTTTTAGAACACACACACACACACACACACAACACAAATCACACATACATATATATATATATATATATATATATATCAGATAAGAGAGAGAGAGAGAGAGAGAGAGAAAATTACTAAACCTAAAACTTTGAAAACCCTTTTAATAAAAAAGTTTAATCGCAGTGCTTCCCTCAGTCGTCTTTCTTAAATACACACACACACACATAATATATATATATATATGATGTTATTTTTCAGTGCACAATATATATATATATATATATATATATATATATATATTTGGGGTTGGTATAGTCTTTTTCTAAAAATATTTATGGGATAAGTGCTCAATATCAGAGATTTTGTTTGTTTATTTAAAGGAAAAGAATTTATAGAAATAATATTTTAACTCGAAAAAACAGGCCTTTATATTATGACAATATATATATATATATATATATATATATATATATATATATATATATATATATAATATTAAAAAACAATAAAATTCAAAATAAAAATCGATCACAGCCTAATTGGGGCAGACAAATCAACGGTCTTATCAACTTTTGCCTAGCTGATTTGTGTCGAGAAAAATCTCAACAGAAATTAAAAATTTGAAAACTAAATACATAAAGTCTTCGGTAATAATAGATGAAAAATCACAAGAACTATTACAATGAAATTTTTTAAAAGGTACAGGGAAGCTATATTCAGGAGGTGGGAAAGGCTTTTCAGCCGAGATGCCAGTTTAAAAATAGTAACAATGCAGATTCTTCATTTCCTTCATCAAGAATCTTAATATATAAAATGTACTACCGGACTAGATTGGCAGCAATATTTCAGAAAGGACGAATTATATAGAAAATATAAACAAGTTAGATTCGATTCTCAAGAAAAAAATTGTCTATTCTTTTACTGACATAGTTTTCCAAATTTTGAGAAAAACAAACCTAGCAATTGATTAAATATATATCTTTCCACTTCATTTTTTGGGATTTAAAGCAAATATTTATGAAAAAGGCGCAGTGAGTCATTTTCTGAGATTAGCAAAATTGCTGATGGGAGATTTTAAAAGTTTTTTATATTATTAATCTGCATCTTCTATTCGGAATAAACAGATTCTCTCTTCCAAGATATTTTAGGAAGAATTTTTAGATTATAATGGTATATGAAGTTATACGTGATCATTCGCAACTTTGTCCGTCAATTTATGGTCAGCCTATTGGCTTTGAA